TTTCCCCGAATTATCTTTTTTTAACCTCGGGCGGTTTAAAATTCAATTTTTAACCATAAGAATAAATTTTAATGATTTACTCTCTCTTCCCACTTACGGTGCATTTTAAGTGGAATGCATGACAAATAAATGCAATTAAATATTAGCAGTACGTAATTAATTGAACTCTTCACTTTCCGAGGTATACTGTGCGGTTGATATGACACCGAAAAAGAAAAAGAAGTAAAATTGCCGAGCGTGTAATGGTATAGTTTTCTTTACCTTCGGCTCAAAATTTGCATTATTTTCATGAATGATTTTTTTTCGTCATCTTTCCCTCCCTCTTTTAATTTTGCGAAGTTCCCTCCAGCCGCGCCTCAAAGGTGATTACATTAACAAACTGTGAGGAGAGCTAAATTTTTACATGGGACAAGACAAGAAACACCGGGAAAAAAAGCGAAGACAATAATGGGGCGCTTTCATGCCAAAGGGATTGGCGATTTGAGTATTATTTCCTGTCTAAAATTTTGCGAGAAACAAGATGATGCCCCTGGTTTTCTCCGAATCGATTTCCCAAAGTTCAAAAAAAGCCGAAAGCCATAGTTCATTAAGGCCGTAATCCAGTCGAACTCCCCGGAAGGAAATATTTGTACATTAAGAGGGTTGTCGTGGCTGCAACCTTGGAGTACCCGTAAAAGCTAGTAGGTAACCCTGCCAAAGTATTTTCTCCCCATCTGTACATGGAAAGCTTGACTGGATATAGATGTTGACTCTCACCTCAACGTAGCCTCCCCTCCCTCAGGCACAGTACGCCATGTTCCCCTTCATTTCGTAGGTATATGCAGTTTTACCTGTTTGGAAGTTAAATATTTGCATCGCGTGTTTCGCCCCCTCCAACCTTTCTACTCAGCGTTTAAGTCTCTGAGTCAGCCGAAGAGTTCGCGTTTTCCTTCATTTCATAGGTATGCTATTTTACCTGCTTGGAAGGTGAAATAGTTGTATCACGCGTACCCCGTACCGCCCCTCTCAACTTTTCACCCTGCGTTAAAGTCTCCGAGTCATCGGAACAGAGACCAAGGTCTTTTTCATTGGTGTGGATGTACGAGCGGGTTTTGTTGCTTCTTAGTTGTGACCGGTTCTGTGGAAAGGGATCTCATCTTCCGGAAGAAAATGTCAGGAATGTAATAAAAAGTTTTATCATCCATCACCCCAGGTCGTAGGTATCGCAATTTTCCCATTGCCCACGTAGTCAACGAACCACCGATCGGTCATCGGTTCGTGAACGTTCTGCACCCCTGCTTACATTGCCCCTAAAATTTTACCCCGAAGTTGAAATACGGAGGATATGGAACATCCGAAAATAGTGGGAACTCAATCTCCAAATCATTCTCCATGATGTAAAACGTAAGGGTAACGCGTAACTCATAACGCCAGAGGCACGAAGCGTTGNGGGGGGGGGGGGGGGGGGGGGGGTCGTCGGACCGCCAAGCGGTCGGCGAAGATGAATAATCGACCCTGTACAATATCGGGTACTTGTTGCGGGTTCAGGGTGTCTTTAAGTCCGGAAACAGTACGGATTTTTTAAGGGCGATCCGGAAGTTTTGAAAAAGTGCGGAATTCCGCAAGGAGGTCCGAATTTTTTTTTAATTTTTTTGCGATTTTTGTCGCAATTTGAGCGAGATATACACATTTTTGAATTTCGTCTTCTGGAGGAACTGAAAAAGTACTGAATTTTCCAGATTTGCCTGTGGAGAAGGTACTGAATTTCTTGAGAATGTACTGAAAAAGCACTGTAAAAGAACTGATTTTCGACCAGCCTGTTTTAGTAGACACGTTGTATACCTAGTCCTTCCTTGGAAAGTCTATGATGATTGATAACAACATTTTCTCATCCAAAAGTAGTGTAACGAAGAAACGAACTCACGAAATTATTTTTATTTTACTCTTCGGTGCGTTTTACAGTCTAGTGTTTACTGCGTTGTTGTTTAAATAAAACATGTGTTTAGCCCTATTATTCCAACGTTGTTATCATCGGACCACCAACCCTAACCTAACCCCATACCACACGTGATGTATTGCGATCCTTGAGATTTTGTTTATTTTTATCGTTCATCGGATTTGTCGATCCGATGACGATTGTCTTCATGATTATTCTATGAAACGCTGTCCATAATAATTTACACCCCCT